AATACTTTAAACAATAAAGAATTTAAATTAAAAATAAATAATAGAAAATATCACATTAGCAAGGGTGAGTATTGTGTCCTGACCTTTTTTTCAGTCATATCCATCTACATCCAAGTATAGATGTTCTGGGTCAAAATTCAAAACCTATTTCTTTTGTTTTTTTTGTAATCCTCACCCAGAGAATATGTATTTATTGCTTTTTAGAAAGAAAGGGAGAGAGAGGTACATCAATTTGAGAAACATTGATGAGTTGTCTCCGGGGATGGAACCTGCAACCTTTTGGTGTACGTGACCAAGCTCCAACCAACTGAGCCACCTGGCCACAACTCAACATTTATTTCCTATTGTTTGATAAATGCTACACTGAGTCTAAAGTTTTTTACTTGCTCCACTATAAGCTCCTGGACAACAGGGACCCTGGGTCCATCTTGAGTTTGTTCTTGGTCCTGACTGAAATATTTGGTAAATAGTAAGGCCTATGCCTGTTTTCCACCTTTAAAGCAAGAGCAGATGCCTCAACCAACTGCTTCATTTAACAATGAGGAGGAGCTGAGAGGCATGGGTCTTGCTTAGGCTTTCCCAGTCAATCAGAGCAGAGATGAATATCCTGCAATCTCTCTAATCCTGTGGTGCTTAGACTTGCTAAAGAGCAAAGGGGCACCTGGTCAGCATGGCTCAGTGGTTGAGCATCGACCCATGAACCTGGGCATGTGCCCTGACCAGGAATCGAACCGGGAGGTCAGGTTCAATTCCTGGTCAGGGCACATACCCAGGTTGTGGGCTCAATGTACAGTGTGGGATTTGCAGGAAGCAGCCCATCAATGATTCTCTCCCATCATTGATGTTTCTCTCTCTCTCCTCCTCCTCTCTGAAATATATATATATGAGCAAAGGGGAAATTTCATACCCCTATCAGAATTTAATAAAAAGTGCATACTAATTTATTACCAAACATGGCAAATAATTTCATTACTATACCCCTTGAGGTTCATTTCTGAATTCCAGACACTAGTGGTCAGAGGCATTCATTTCAATATTTATTGAAAACCTACTATGTACATTCTAGTTTTTGCCATGGAGGTTCCATCCAGTTAGTGGCACTCATACATACACACATATAATGTAATGTCAGGGTAAGTATTATAAGAAAATATAAAAAGGGTGTTTATGTGGGGTGGTCAGGGAAGGGACTTCCTGAGAAGGTGACATTTCAGCAGAAGAAAGCAAAGGAACAAGTAATTAAAATACCTGTTAGGGAACCCCATGGTGAAGGAACAGCAAGGGATAAGGTCCTGAGGCAGGAATGAACATGATGATCAAGAACAGTAGAGTAAGCAAACTGTGTAGGGTCAACAGGCCATTAAAAGGACTTTGGTTTTTCCTCTAAGTGAAAGAGAAGTCACTTGAAGGTTCTTAGAAATAATAATGATAATGATGATGATGATGATGGCATGGTCTGACTCATCTTAAAATGGTCCTTCTGGCTGCTGTGTGGAGAATAGACTGTAGGGAACAAGGAGATCGGTTAGGAGGTAACTATAATAGTCAAACAGTCACACTTGCACCAGGGTGGTAGCAGTGGAGGTGGGAAATTCTCAGGTTATAGATATATTTTGAAGAGAGAGCCAACACGATTGCTGAGGTGAAATCTGAGAGAAGTTAAAAATAATCCCTAAAAGTGAAACTATTTTGTATGCTACTATAATAGTGAATACAGGACCTTAAGCATTTGTCAAAACCCATAGAATTTTATAGCACAAAGAGTAAACTTTTGTGAGTGCAAATATTTTTTAAAAATCATTTAGGAGGTCAGGATATCTCAGATGCAATACAGAATGTGATATTCTGAATCTAAATGTATACAAATGCATTAAAAAAATTCACTGAAGGGGTCTGTAGAATCAAATACTGACCTCAGTAACTTTGGAAATGAGTCTTTAAGACGAAACCAAAAGGAACAATACATGTGCACTGTACTCCAGTCGATTAAGTTATTCCCACAGGGGATATAGGTTAACAATTCTGAAGCCACTATATATGAATACAGGAATTGAACAATTAAGTAAATGAATGGGAGATGGTGAAAGCTAGATTTATCACTGTTGGAGTGGGAGGTTACAGATAAGCCAGGAGACTAGAACGATTCACATGGAATGGATAAGAGTTGCAGGCACAAGTATGAACTCATGTTTAGCTTAATATAGATACCAGTGGCTACATATAGAAATATTTATAGATACATAAGTATCTATAAAGAGATACACACATATCTCTTGCTCTGTCCACTGAGAGGGCCTAGAAGCATGAGCATCCCAGTAGCAATGAGTACCCCTGGTACCCAGATCTTGGTGTCTAATACCATTCTCCAGTAAAAGGAACCAGGACTCTGTGGAGAAATGATTAATTCTAGGACTGAGGCAAAAAACGTGCAAGATAACCCTGGAGCAGAAAGTAAGAAAGTGTTCAACAGAACAAAACATTGATTGGGGTATGTCAAAGGGATATAGGAGACAACTGAAAGGGAGTAACTACAGTAGAAAAACTTGACTTCAAGCTAGTCATCCAAATTACCATCAACAGCGATAACTTATATTTGGTAGTATGTGCCCCTGATGTGATGTGATAAGAATGGAACTTTATCTCTGTGGTCTTCCTCCCTATAGCTTATAACTCCAATCTAATTGAGCAAATCTGAATAAAGCATAGACTTTAGTTAATAACTTACTAATATTGGTTCATTAATTGTGAAAAATGTACTTTACTAATGTAAGATGTTTAATAGCGGAGTTGGGTGTGGGGCATATGGGAACTCACTGTAGTATCTTCACAATATGTAATTACGTAAATCTAAAATTGTTCTAAAATAAGTTTTATTGAAAAAGTCAACATTTCAAAATAAATAACCCCGGAGACGTTTATAGCTCTCCAGACTTAGCAAATTGAAATAAAATCTTCTCTAAGACTGAAAAACCCAGATTCCAAGTGTGTTGGTAGGGGATTCTTGGCTTCTAATGAAGCGATTTTAAAATTCTGTTCTGAGCCCACAGGCGTAGCTCAGGTTATGGGAATTTGCCAGGTTTGTCCCCAGTGTGGGGCGTGCAGGAGGCAGCCGATCAATGATTCTCTCTCATCATTGATGTTTCTATCTCTCTCTCCCTCTCACTTCCTCTCTGAAATCAATAATAATAAAAAAATTTCTTTTAAAGGCATGCCTCATTTTAAAAAATAAAATAAAATTCTATTTTGAGAAGTCAACTGAAACAGACTAGGGAATAGAAAATCAGTATCATGAGTTGGTCCCTGTCCCATAGCAATGAGCTGCGTATAACCAGACCCTGTCCCCTTACAACAAATTCCCAAGAATGCTCCAAAGTGGGTTAAAGTTTTGCAAAATGTCATCTCCCAGAGCACAGTCAGACTGGAAGCCAGAGGGCTGAAACGGGGGTCCAGGGGTCCTGCAAAATGTAATTAATAAACTAGAATTTGTTGCACCACTTAAAAAGTGTGAGGTTTCACATACTCGTTTCCCAGTTGCTCTGAAAAGAATTCACCCAACACGCACTGTGCACCTTCACCAACTACTTAGCATTCACCATCTCATTTAATCCTCAGGTCAAGCGAGGAAGCCAGAGATGGCCCGCGGTTACACACAGCACCACGGGGCCCTCAGGCCTCGAACCCCGGAGCCTGGCTCCACCGGTCGGAGGAAAGGTCCGGTCAGAGCCCCTAGGAACCCGGGGTTCTGGCCGGGACGGCGCCAGGCGAGGCCTCCGCCTCCCGGGAACTCAAGTTCCCTCCGCAAGTAACTTCCTAACGGCCCCTGGGAAGTTACTCTGGCCGCGCGCGGAGAGACCGAAGCCGGCGGAGCAGAGCCGCCGGGACCGC